ATCTAACTCACGAAGAGGCTCTTCTTCAAACTGAGCTGAACCAAAATGCGTTGAAAAATTTCCTCCTTACTTATGCACAGGTTATAGTTCTGGATTATATGACCTTTTTTTTTAATCAGGTGGCGGACCCCAGACAAGTGACTTTGAATACACGTGAGTTGGAGCGCGAACCAAAGCGCTTTACTGTCCGTCACGAGGTGGACATACCTGTACAAGTGCCTAGCTCTGCTGGAGAGGGCCAACTGGAGGCTGCTGTTGTGGGCCCCGACCAGGAAAGTGTTCCCTCTAGTGTGACAAAGGATGACGATGGATATTATCATATCCGGTTTGTACCTCGTCAAACTGGAGAACACAGAGTGATGGTCATGTATGGTGGCAAGGAAGTGTCAAGTAGCCCTTATGTCATCCGTATACGAGATGCCACCAGTATGAAGGTCAAGGTCACCGAGATGGAGCAGATGAGAACTGGTTACTCAGCGCAAAAAGAGGTCCATGTTATAATTATTTTCGTTTGTCTGACCTTCACCAGTCATGAAATTTTTCCTTACCGTTTTCGTTTTATCCTCATATTTAGGTTGATGTTCCTATCGAAGTTCCAGAAGAAGTTGATGAGATTTCCGCCACCGTCCAAGACGAGGATGGCAAACCTATAAAGTCAACGTTGACCTTTGAACCAGACGGCTTATACCACGTGAGGTAAGAACAGAGCATTTACGTGACGTTGATCATGTCACGCCTAAGGGCTTGTCATGCCATCCTAAAAAAATTTTTTGTGACACAGAAAAAAGAGCAACCAACTTATATTATATATTCCAGATTTGTTCCGCACAAACCCGGTCGTTACACTGTAGATGTGCGCTGTGGAGGACAGTCCATAGAGAACAGCCCCTTCGTAATGAAAATTTCAGAAGCGGAGACAGTGTCGGTAAAACTGAAAGAGTTTGAAAAACAGGTAACTCGCTGGTTTGTAATCTCCCATCCAGTTCTTTTGCACCTTGTTATCTAAATAACCGTAAGTGTGAGACGATCAGAGTCGAGGTAAGGTGTAACCAGACTCGAACTGAGAAAAATTGTTTGGCATTAATTAGTGACGTTCTTTTGATCCTTCCCCTGACAGGAGGGAGTTAGCTATCACGTGGGGTACGAGGTAGACGTGCCCATGGAGATACCATCCGAAGTAGATGAAGTGTCAGCTGTGATTTATGATCCGGATGGAAATATTGACAAGTCAACTTTCAAGAAGGAATCTGATGGTCTTCACCATTTGAGGTTTACTCCCAAAAAGATTGGACAGTACAAGGTAAGTAAGACCTACTTATAGTCCCTGAAAGACGCACGAAGCCCAGCGATAAGAGCGTCGGCCTTCGAATCGAGCGGTCCCGGTGTGAGTCTTAGCCGGGGTTACCAAGTTGTGAATTTGGAAAAGCAAGAGATTCAGGGCTTTTTTTCTATCTCAGATGAATACATGTTACTTTTGGAAAGTTGCTTAGAATAGTCTGCCCTCCCACTTCCAAAAGAAATGATCTCTTACTTGCGTCAAACTTATTTCTTTTTTCCTAAGGTGGATATTCGCTGTGGTGGACGCTCAGTAGAGAACAGCCCATTCCCCTTGAACGTGGCCCAGCCAAAAACGGCCGTTGTTCGTTTACGCCAACCAGAGGAGTCTGAAAACAAGTATTTAGTTCGCCGTGAACTTGACATAGCACTTGACGCGGCAGAAGGTACCAGGAACCTGTCTTCATATGTAGACGGACCCGATGAGGAGAATGTTCCAGCATCTTTTGATAAAGGAGACGATGGCTTGTACCATGTTAAGTTTGTACCTTACAAGCCTGGAACCTACAAGGTAAGAGATCGGCGTAAATTTTATCCTGGAGAATTCGGTTTGGAAAATGTTTCTCGGTAACGCTGATACAAAAGACCAAACAAGTCATTGCGGTTTGTTAGAGCTGCGTGTCTGTTTGTCTCTCACATTCCTCTTTTAAAAGCCACGTAATTTTGATAGCAAGTGGTAGTTTCTTTCCATCCTGTTTACAGCCGGAGGAATAACCAGAAGGTGACGCTTACTATTCGTCCATCGTCGAGAAAGTGCGGAGTATCGGCTGGAACATACACCAGTTGAAATATTTTGGATTACTCTCGTGTTTTCGTGTTCTTCTTTTGTTTAAAAGTTGAAAAATTGTGACTTGTCCACTAATTAGGTGTGCCTACTCCCCGAGTTCACTCATTTCGTAGTGATGATCATGTCGGCCTGGTACGCACTGATAAGTCGCAAAACCGCAATTTCTGACAATATCATAACTTCTCGTCCCTCTGTCCGTACATTTTGAAGTATGTTCAGATTTTCAAAGTATTTTTGCGTCTACCCAGGTTCATGTTAAGAGTAACGGCACTCCAGTAGCCAGTAGTCCATTCCTAATCAAGGTCGGCGACCCAGGCAAGGTCCAAGTTGCGCATGTCCGTAGTGAGGAACTGTTTGCAGAGCGAGTCATTAAGAACGAAGTGGATTTAGCCGTGGAAAGTTCATATGACATGACTGATGAAGATTTCTCCGCCAGAGTCACAGGCCCCGATGGAGAAAATGTCCCCTGTCACGTGAACAAGGGGCCTGACAATCGGCATCACGTTAGGTTTACTCCTCATAAGGCTGGTCCATATAAGGTAAGATGCCTCCCTGCTGGACGTTGGAGACTGGGGTGACATTGTTAGAGGGTGTGGTGATTGTAATGTTAATTTACGGTCGGTTTATATCACCATTTTTGCGAGTGAGGGAACGCAAATGTCAAGTTTCTGGACTTAGGTTTCTAAACGGGTTTTATCGCATATTTGGCGGAATGGTACCGTCAAAACAATTTAAAGTTTTCATCGGAGAATTTTCTGGTATCATGCCTTCCTAAAACTCAATAGTCGCTAGTAAAACCATCAAAAACTAATGCGGTGATCGCTCAAGATTGAGTAGAATGGATAAAAATTATTATCATAAAGCGAGTCTCTTGAGAAGTTATTTTTAAACAAAGAACACTTAAGTTAAATCATCCAAGCTGGGCTAACCAAAGTTTTACGGCAAATAAACAAAATTTGCAAACAAATCGCTGACATAATTAACTCACAGTTGGCTTTTTACTTTGGTTAGGTGGACGTTCGTTACCGGGGCGAGCCCGTACAAGGCTCTCCTTTCACTGTCAACGTCACGGATCAGGGACAGGGGGGCCCAGTAGTGAATTTCAACGAATCCGATCGATTTTACGAGAACCGCGAGGCAGACATCCCCATTATGATCCCAGAGGGTTCATCAGCAGATTACCTCAAGTGCCGCGTTACTGATCCAGAGATGGAGTTACTTGATTACGAGCTGACCTACGACCGAGGCTCCAACTTATATCACGTGCGATTTGTACCGAAGAGACCTGGGCGCCACAGAGTAGACGTGGAATACGATGGTGTTCCTGTGGATGGTTCGCCGTTTATGATGAATATTGAAGGAACCGAAGGACATAAGAAGGTTTTTGCCTCGGGAGACGGAATTAAAGGAGGTGTGTATATTCAGTATTTTTTTTTCCAATTAGAGACTGAAAAATTTTATCGTTACGAATACAGAATGTTTATCTTCTGTCCCATATCCTTTGTAATTCAGGCACTCGTAAACAAGTTGCTTATTAGGAAATGCCTTACGCCCTTTGTTTATGCACAGGAATGGTGAACGAGAAGATAGATTTCATGGTGGACGCCCGCACTGCCGGCCGGGGCAAGCTGACTGGGAAGCTTACCGGAGTCAAATATCACACTGATGTAGAAGTCATTGACTTGAAGGACGGGAGGTACGCATGTCACTACTTGGTACCACAGGCTGGGGCTTATGTCCTCTCACTAATGTGGAATGGACAGCACATACCTAACAGTCCTTATAAGGTCACTATCAGAGAAGCACAAGCTATGAGCGCCAAAAGTTGTTTTGTTGAAGGTAAGAAATTTTCTCCATGATTAATGCTCTATATTTCAGAATTTAAGAAGCTAATAAGATGCTATCTCAATCCGTTAAGAAAGTCAAATGACAGTGGCACAACTACAGGTGCACGCAAATGAAAACACGTTTTTAAATCAGTTTAACTTGTTTGACCTTTAGGGAGCATGCTCAAGGAGGGCGCAGGAGCCACAGTGGGCCAAGCCATGGGGTTCAGTATCAACAGCAAAGATGCAGGCCCGGGGCAATTGTATGTTCGCTGTCAAGGACCCACAAAAGACTGTGATTGCACAGTGTTCGACAACAAGGATTCTACTTATCAAGTACAAATCTTCCCTTCCGAAGTTGGGAACCATCTCGTGTATGTGGAGTGGGGAGGAAGACCTGTACATGGAAGTCCCTTTTTGGTACGCGTGGGACAGCCCCCTGATCCCAGTAAAGTTCGTGTGTACGGTATGTCAACTCATGTAATTTTCACGTTCTGTTCGCCCCCTAAGATACACTTTGGAGTTTTACATTGAATTTTCTGAAGAATGATTTAATATCTGCGATTTTCTCGATAGGTCCTGGTTTGGAGAACGGATTGCTACGAAATTTCAAGGGGGAATTCCTGGTAGAAACTAAAGGTGCTGGTCCGGGAACACTTAAGATCAGAATCCATGGACCCAGAGGGGCCTTCAAAGTGGAGATGTACCGGGACACATCAAAGGAGCGTTCTATTGGAGTGCGATACAACCCCACAGAGGCGGGACGGTACATTATTAACATCAAATGGGCCGATCAGCATATACCTGGAAGTCCTTTTGATGTCACGATAGTTGAAACAAGAGACGAACTTGAATCGCTTAATGAATTGAAGGACAATGCAGTTCTATTTCAACAAAGGGATGCTAGATTATAGGAGACTGGTAGCTAGTAATTTTTAAACCTGTACCCAACCTTTTCTCGGTCAGTCATTCCCAAGATGGCGACCGTAAGGCTGAAAACTCCGCATTTTGAATCATCTCGATCTATCAATCTGGCCTATAACTGCTAAATTTTTTCCTTATTTTAGTCGGTGCTAGGTGGTCGATCTATGGAGACAGTGTAAGTCTGGGAGGGAAAAAATGGCGTGCTTTCACAGACTTCATGGTTTTCTCTCGCACGTTGTTTTCGATTCCACCGACCGAGAGTCTGGCATATGCTGATTTCTTTTTCAATCATTGCAGTTGTCACATATCGGTGTTAGCAGTTATTGATTTAAAAACTTAGAGTAGGGGGGAGGGGAGGGTAGTTGGAGAGGCTGAGTAAAAAATGCGGTCTTTTTGTCGGTGAATATTCAAAATTATTATCCAACTGCACAAAGTAGAATACAAATAACGCGCGAACAGAGTGCAAATATCCTGCGATATTGTACGGTTATTTGGACAGTAGGTTATTTTGCACTGTAAAAAAACCTGTTTAACCAGTCGGCTGCGCGCGCTACGCTTCTCTATCCGCTTTGCTTTTCCCGTGTGATGAGAAATGATCAGAAGAACTTAGCAGAAGAAAAAAAGCAGTTGGTTAATAAATAGTTTCTTAGACGTTTTGGTTCGTAGTATCGCTGAGTATTTTTAAAAGTTGTGCCACATGGGCGAGTAAAATTCCAAACAACGAGTAAAAATACTCGGCGATACTACACATCAAAACGTCTCATAACATATATGTATTTATGGATACATAGCCTGCTTTCGTGAGTGTAGAGGTTAATGCCTGTTCTCTAAGCAATTCCGCTGAGTATACGGTATGAACCTTTGTATTACGTCGTACTCACTGACCTTGCCATTGGCGGGCTGAAGACAACATCATTTTGATTGACAGAATTTTGGATTGATATGGTTTACCTGGGTTTTCTAAAGGCACTGGGCGTGTTTACAGTTACCCATAGTGAATGTTTGGAGGAGCACGACATTTTTTTAAATTATCGGAATTGGTATTGGAATATCATACACACAACTACTGTATTTACTCTCAACTTATGAAAAAATGCTCAATCGTACCTGCACAGACTAAAATGGTCACGAATAAAAACAGATCTTAGATCTGAAGGGGTGTATTTTGATGTTCGTCAGCCAAATTTAAATAGTCCTATTTAAGGTAACCATTCGATATTTATATGGTACTTTGGTTAGATTTAATCTACTGGTTTAAAATAGATATGCTGATATGGTTTTAGTACGATAGAAGTAAACACGAGTGCGTAATTTCAAGGTTAATCAAACCTAATTTATCAATGTGTATTGCACATAACTACATACTGTGCAACCAAAAATATTCGTTAATTTTGTAGGTTGTTTTAATTGTTTTAATTGTTTCATCTATCTTAAACAACCAGGATTGAGTATTTACATATTTTAGAACTTTTGGAAGAGTTTACCTCGATTATGTGTTGACTGGCTTGAAAAGCATAATTCTCACTATATTTAAACCTAATACTAAAAGTTTCCTCGCATAGGTGGAGGAAAAAAGAAAAAAACAAACAAACAAAAATATCAAGTTAGAGACGTGGAAGGAATCTAGGTGATCCAGGGTAAGATTAATATTTTCAAAAGGTAGTGTGTATTGTATTTTTAGTCAGGGCATGGTGTGAGCTTGCAGCGATTGGAAGCAGCATAGAAATCTTTTACTACCGTTGTAGGGGTTGAGCTGCAGCAGAGTGGAGTGAACTTCCCATAATGATAGCCGATGGATCGAGTAGAAATTCCAGAAGAAGGCTGTCTTTTTCTACATCGATACATTTTAAGGTTTTTAGCTAGATTTTTTCCTTATGTGTAAATAAAAGTCTATTTTGGCCAGGTGACGTGTAACTGAATTACCATAGAAATATGTAAGCCCCTCACGATGCGGTAAACGTAAATGATATGCGACCCACGTATCGGGCAGTGCGCAAAAGTGGGTACTCTGACATGATAGATTTCTCTTTAGAGGTATCTCAATAGAAATTGGTCACGAATTGTCAATAGTTCTCCCCGTGCGCAGACAACTTACTTCCCGTGTCAATGTGAAAATGTTACAAGTAGGGTTTTGCGTAATTGTTTTCCTGGAGAGCGCTATAAAACCTCGCGCCGCGCTGTGAGTGTTTGACCGACCACAATTAAGTCGCATGGAATTTTTAATTAGGATGAGAAATAAGATGAATTAATCTTAACTGATGCAAACACTGAAGCGTGCTTGGGATAATTCGAGAACATGATTGTTTCAATGCACGGTGGGCGTACGGTTTTTCTAGTATCTTGTGCACGATTTGTGAATCTATAAAAACTCCACAAAATTTTCCAAGCTCTTGGCTTACAATTAGAGTTAATTTCCCCTTCAGTTATCATTCTCAGTTCGTTCTCTCGACTTTTGTGATATCGTTCGTTTTATCAATGGTATTTTGCGGTTTCCCTGACGTGAAGGATATTCTGCAAGTAATGAAAATCGTCTCCTAGTAATGCAGCGTTACGTAGGTCTCGATATTGACCCATTTAATAAACTTTTTGTCGTTAAACTTGTCTTCTGACCTTCCAATGGCTTTCCACGAACCTTAAACCTCGAAAAGTTGTTTGTATGGCTGTGGTAATACTAAAAACACTGTTTGAGTAGTGGGGAAACCATGAAGAACGTTCAAAATCGGTAAAGAAACTTCGCGAAGTTTCTTTCAACGATACATATAATTTCCGGTTTCCGACCGCGAATTCTTATACATGATATGAGGCCAGAATGTGCAGAGAGCGGAAGTGGTGGACGTTTTAGTCTATCGCGGCTTTGTAATATCTAAAGTACTAAAATAGTTGTTTGAATGATAAACGCACGCGTGTAAATCGGTATTACGATATGACACAACATAAGCCAGAAACAGACAAGTGGTAAAGACTAGGCCAACTATAGGACCCTCTAAAGAAAACCACTGAATTACCAGACTAGGCAGGAAATTTACGTCAGCAGTCTTTAGAGTTTCATTTGATCAGATTTTGTGCCATCTAAGAAGAGTTGTCTTGCAAGTGAAAATATGTGACAATCTTATTATTAATTAGGTGCATTTAACCACCCAAGTCGAATGAACGCATGTACGTAGGCACGTTTCTAGCTATTTGTTACTATTTGTTGAATTACAATAGCTTACAGTATTCATTACATAGTCTTTGGACTATGTACTTTCTAACAAGAGGGATTAATTTTCTCTGTGGTATTTTTTCAATTTGGTCGTCTCTGTGAGGAAGGTTGTATTGTGCAAAACTGTTAATGAAAGCCAAACCAAGACAAAGAAAGGACGGTATCATGGCATTGCATTAAAAATTGCTGAAGAAATCATTAAATCCGAATGCAAAGTTTTTACAAAATGTTTTTTTTTCCATTTCACAGCTTTATCATTGATCAGTTTTCTTATCAGGGGCTTTACTCATTAGTTGTCGTCTACTGCTTTTAAAAAAAAAGTTGCTATCGGTTTGTTTTTTGTTGCCTGTCACGCAAAGAATTTACTTTCACTGCATAAAGCTGTTTGTAAATTATGTACATAGAGTCATAGTGGTCTAGCCGGAATCTCTGCTTTTTTTATGCGTAGATTTTTTCAACTTGTGACATTGTTTCAAAGAGAGCAAATATTTTCCTTAACTTGCTCTCAGTTGAAAGAAAGGTTTCATTCTTTTCAAAAATCAAATGTGCTTTCTGCCTGGAATCCGACTCAATGATAATTACAGAAACGACGAAAATGTAGATTCACTCAAACACCAAAAAAACGTTTGTTTGAATATCAATCATAAAAATTTTATTTTATTTTATGAACAAAACAGTTGAATGATAATCCGTGGAAAGGCCCTTCAACATGTAAGCGGATCTACTATCTCCTAGATTTGTTGCTCTACAGAAAAGCTCTTTATTTCATCGTTTTACCTGTCCGTCAATGCAAAAAATCTCTAATAAATTAAGGGTGATGAAAAATAAAGCGAGCAGAAAACGTGAAACACATTGCCTATCAACAACTTTTCTTATAGCGGAAACGTGATAGAGGAAATTGGAAAGACTAGGTTTCTGAATAGAAAAAAAACAATGGTTTATATTAAATCTGGTTTTATATCACGTACCTGAGATGGAAGGTGGCATTTACAAATGAAGGATGTGTATTTGGGGAGCTTAAAAGCTTCTAAGCTAATGCATTTTACGATCTTATGAAATTTTGCGATATGCATGCTCTGTGACACGTTCTGAGGTGAACATAACATGGGCGGAAATAGGAAAACACGAAATTCTCTTAATTAAGTGTGTTTTTCACAAAATTTGGTCCTCTGATTTTCAAAAGAAAGCTGCCTTTAGGTTTTTAAAACAGAATCCTTTGAGGATCTTACAAACGAGAACCGTACAGAATGCCATTATCAGAAAAGTTTTTCAATACATTTTTACTTGTCTATAAAAGAAAACTAATGTTTTGAAGCGCCACAATTTTAATGCGAAAACTAAAAAGACTACTGAATATTAAATGCAAAGTTAAAGACTCTGCGATGTTTTTAATGGCACCTTGATTAAATCAAACCATTGATTTGAACATTTAAAACTTTCTTCAACTAATCGCTCTTTTTGTTAAAAGCAGGAATCCGAATTTTCGAAATGTACCCATAAATTTAAGGGCTTCAAAATGTCTCTTTTGCGTGTTTCGTGCGCAAAGTGTGAATATGTTCATCCTAAATCATTCTTGAGCGTTTTGGAGCATAATTTCCGGTTTTTTTTTTTACGGTTTGAGGCAGAATAAAATTACAATACCGAGAGAAACTTCTATGAAAACATATTTCATATTTCTAATTCGCTGGCTCAGTTGATTATTTTTCTTTTGTTTTGCAGCCACTTACCAAAACAAAAGTGTCGATAAAGATTTTCAATTTTCGTTTGCAATGCAAATATGCAGTTAATTTATATTTTTAGCTCATAAGCAGTTTTGTCACGCGCCAAAGGCCAATATTGAGACCACATATCTATACACAAACCCAACAAGCGTGTCCACCGACGTCCTAAAAATAATTGCTCTTGAAACAGGCGTCATCTCTGAGAAGGTCAGTTGAGTCGAAATTTTCCTTTAGCAGATAAAGGACAGATCTCCATTGTTGCGAAATCCTTTTATCCTAATGTGCCAACTCCCCAAGGAAGCGTAAACCGCTCAGCTGCCCTGTAATGATTGTGAATCAAAACAGGAGTGATTATACTAATTGTTTCACGTCGCCTAGGGAAAATTGAAATAAAAGGCGTTCTGAAGGCACAAGCGTCTGTTCTCAGTGTGTTTACAGCACCGGAGACGGACTTCTTTCGTTAATTTAAATAAAAAAATCAAGAACTACGCAAAATTCTGCCGAGTATAACTCGAGAGGGACAAAGAGAACACGAGAGAATATGGAGGTGCCACGGCAACCAGCGGATTTCACATGCAGCGTGAAGTATTTAGGAAGTCAAAATGCCATGTATCCACAGACTGGGACTTTGGAAAACATCGCCCGGGTGTATCAAAAAGGTTGTGCGCTTAACGAGAGGGACATCGAAAAACTGACAGTTACTAAAGACAGTGTTTCACTTCGCAGCAAAAACACCGAAAAGATTTTCAAACTACGCAAAATTTTGTTCTGCGCAAGCTACAAGAAGATTCCCAAAGTTGTTGCGTTTAACTATATGGTTTCGTCCTCGCCGAAGCGATTAGAGTGTCATGCGTTTTTATGCGGGTCTAACGAAGAAGCGAGAGCTGTTGTCGCCGCTCTGACCTCAGCGTTCAGAATGGCGTACAACGAGTCGAAAAACGCAGGTGAAATTCACGTCGATGAAACCATTACAAATCACAAGATTTGGACAGTCGATTCAGCTGAGGAGAAAGAGATTAAAGTTATTTTCGCATTGCCTCGGAAAATCGGTGAATTATTTGATACTTTGACGAACTGCATGACCGCAAAGTGATTAACTTGAGGAACGTGAGGAAAAAATTGATGAGGACGACAGAAACTTATGCCGGGAGACGTCTGGAAAGTGTTAATTTATGCAATGGGCTGCGCTCGCCGATCATATATGGACAAGTACCTGACGAAAGAAACTTTCTTCTTTGATCATCCTAAGACATGAAATCTCGTTTCGAAGTTAATTACAATTTTAGGTGGTCAGTTACAGCAGTTTATAGAACATAAACTTGAAACTTAGATTGTGGCACGGCAAGAAGACATCTCCATTTTGCCAAATCACATGTGTGTCGATTTGCAGTAAACTAGTTTATGGTTCGCGTACTCCATTCTCGTTCACTGCATCAATATCGAAGATACGAGTGAGTCATTTTAGAAATTTTGCCTCAAAATTGTAATATAAGTTATTCAAATAAATGCAGAAATAACATTTCCCAGCAAACTTCGATGAGAAGCGGGTGGCGTGCGAGAGAATAAGCAAATTGAAAATTAAATTACTCTAATATAAACAATTCTTAATTTATTTATCTTCACGACAGAGAAAGCTGACAACAGATAGTTCATCAACGTTGAGTACGCTCCGATGTCCTCTCTATCAGCTTCAATTGTAAATACGGCAACGGGATGGTATCAACGGGAGCTTGATCGAAATTGTATGTGAGGAAAAAAACTTGTAAATTGGACAAATCTTGTGTTAAAATCCGTGTAAGATAATTGAATGAAACTTCTGTAGATACATCTAGAAGCTTTCCAGTAGAACGCTGAAAGAGTGAAAATGCAATAAAATGTGAACATATGTCGTCTGGTTTGTTGTAAATAATTTGTGTTTAGATTTCAAGCGACTGAAGTCCCAGCGCTTTTTGGGAAAAATCACAACATCTGTCTATGTGTTTTTAAAATATTCGTTGTTCACAGAATCTTTATTAGTAAACTAGACGGTTACAAGAAGTTCGTGTTTTCGATCACAAACTTTAACAATCAGAAACTTGATTTCCCCGCTTCTTACAAAAAACTCAAAATATGAGGACATTGAAGGTGGTTAGATTGAGGCTGGTGTAAGATTTTCTGTATGAAAATAGAGAGAAAAAGGAACGAAAGTGCATATTTTCTTCGCTCGGAAACAGCAATTTTCGATCAGACGTTCTTGATACGTGCAAATCACGGTATTGCATATAGCAAGCTAAATCAATAAAATGGAAAATAATCGCTGATTGTAGACTCACTTCACAACACGAGCGGTAATGAAATAGTAATTTTCATTTCGTGAGTATCCTGTTTGTCTAGCAAACACCTCCGGATATAATCTAAAAGCAATAGCATAAAACCGTGATTTTTTTTGTTTTAACATTTTTGGCAAATGAAGAGACCAATAGTTTATGAGATTCACTCTTAAATTTTTCCCTAACTTTTGCAATTAAGACGTCTGAAGGTGTCATTCCTTTTCTCACAAATTCTTCGTTTGAATGGCTTTCTTTCAACTTTGTATCGTGTTTGCGCTCTGGTTGATAAGTTTGCAGTGACTCACTTGTCACAGTGAGGCCGCGCAAACATAAGTTTGATTAAGTTCTTAATCATCTTGAATGAGAAAAGTTAAAATATATTTATTTGCGTGCAAATTGAATTTCTGTGGCGGTGTATTTGAGACAAAAGCGAAAATAAAGTATTTCTCTCTGAGACTGATTTTGGAAGGAAGATGACGATTTTTTTAAGTTTCTTTAAACTCTTGCATTTTAAATTAGTAAACGACTGTGAAAAGAAGCGTGTCATGCATAACAAGAAATTGCTTTTAACCCAGTTGGCGACGTTAGGTATAAGAGACGGTTTAATAAAAGGATTGAAATCAAAATTTGAGGTTTCCTTTCGACACGTAAAACTTAAATGGAAATAAGATTAATTTAGCGACTCTAATGGAATATCTTGTCTTCTCTCAGTATAAATTGTTTTCCAAAACTTACTCATCAGCATCATAAATGATTTTGTCTGTGTTCTAGAATATTGTAGCTTTCAATGGACCAAGCCAAGGAGAACGGAGCATTTCGTTTTTAAAGATACGAGAATAAACAGGAGACTTGTAGGTATCATTACCCATTAAACCTGTAACTTCCAGAGTTGATTGACATGTAACTTCTTCCTTAAAATATCCACACATTATCCAACTAACACTGAGGTAATGAGAATACGCAAACTAATCAGGTAGAAGTTATAAAAACCTAATTCTCATAACTCATTTACAAAGAAATGTGTAGCAGCTAGAGGAGAGAATTAGCGATCAGATCTTAGGAACCAGTAAAAAATTAGGAGAGAATGATTGACTACTCGGTTAAAACTATTGCGTACAGAAGGTACAGTGATCATGATTATTTGAAGAAAATGTAAACCCAAGGCAGGTTGGGCGATCAAATTACAAAACCAATCTTACGGAACGGTTTAGTGTGTTTTCAGTTTCGGTTGAAGCCTGCTGTTAAGGAGTCTAGATATTTCTGTCACAAGTAGGCGCTAAGAGAAATTAATGAGACCATTCTTTTCTTTTGGCGGGCGTCTAATTAGTGTAAATAACAGTGACTATTAATTAAACACTGGTTATGGACCATTTCGCTCCATTCTTATTTCTCAAGTGGCTTACTTGAGAGTCTGGTCATATGAAATCCATTAAAAGAAAATGAATGTGACACCCTTAGACGCACCTAATAACCTCATCGCCGGATGTTTCTCAGTCAAGACGGCAGCCGGTCTTTCCAGATCCTAATTATGACCGGGAGGGTCTGAGTTCGAGACTGGTTTCAGACGGCATACCTACGCTTGGTAAAATAATTATGGGTAACTTACGGTATGTGAATCACGCTCCTTTATGTCCTATGGCTGGGTTTGAAAATGGTTAAGTTGGTTCGATTGAGCTGCTTATAAGATTTTCTTCCTGAAATAAGGGTGAAAGGGAAACGAAAATGAATCTCTTTTCTTGGGAAAAACAAGGTCCCATCAAATGCCACTAAATGATACAGGTATTGCAATTAGCAAGCTAAATTAGTACACTGGAAATAATTGCTGAATGCATACTCACTTCACAAAGTGCGCCGTTATGGAAAATTAATTTTAATTTCGTGAGTTCCCTGTCTTGTTTTTTTAGTATTAAAAACAACAGAATTAACTAGTAAATTATAAAGGTTTTTGGTAGGTTAGGAAATTGGCAGCCTTTAAAATCCATTCCTAATGGATTTTTATAACATTTGAAAGTTGGGAGCTGTAGGCAGCGTCTCTAGTTTTGCACTGACACTGCTTTCAAAGCCCTCAATAAATAATGCCAAGTAAAAACAGTTTTAACTCTAAGTGTAATTATCTTCAGTACACATAAAGCATTCCTTTGTGCGTGGACTTGAAAGTTAGAGGTGACGACCTCGCAATGAAAAAACAATGACGAGTCTGACTTTGATCCGTTATAGGTTAGAACTCAACGAGAAGACCAGTTTAATTAACCGGCCTTTCATCAATTTTTCCCGTTTTAAAGTAATTCTTGCAGGCTATTGGCTGAAATTTAGAAATAACTGATCTGCCTGAGCAGCTAAGTTTAAGAAGGGACATGTCTATTTAGTCAGGACTTGTCAGGTCTATGTGGTGCTTAGTCCATTCATGTACACATCCTGATTATACATCAACAATAATTCTCGAGAACAGTAAAATAAACAAATACCTGAGGTATACTGAAAAAAAAGGAATAAATAAGTGTGTCCACTTCACAAAAAATTGATTGAGGCATCTCTAGGCTTCCAAAATCGAAAGAAAAAGAAATTAAAAAAAAAAAACTATACTGCTACATTGATCAAAGCAGTGAGTTTAGTCTGATGCGACGTAAATCGCTTTAATCATTTTCACAGATTAATTTCATGACTAGCGTTGCATTAGAATTAGAAGTGGCAGTTGTTTTCCAGTGTTGTTGATATACAGTTACAGCTACAAGAGAAAATTATGCTCTCTTTAACCAAATTGTTCAAATCTAATAACGTGGCTGATTAAAAACCAGCTATGAGAATCTCAGTGAGAATCTTGCTTTTTGCTATTACCCAGATTATGTATAAAAAATTGAATATACTTTTTTTTTTTTGAATTAAAACAGTATGGCTTACTTCACGCTGACCTCCATTGTCATCCATGCGACGGTTTTTAAGGATCCTTTTCAATAGGAATAAAGTCTAATTCTTTTTCTTACGATTTGGCAACTTGCGATTTCCCATTGCCGGTCTACTACAAAGACATAAACTAAGCCCTGAACCTTTCCTACGTAAGAAATAATGAGGTTTCCCTCTAACTGAGAGATTTGCAGTCGCGAAAAGATGTTTGTCATTGTTTTCTATCTTTAGACAGTTACATATTTATTATTACTTCTCATTTTACCTACGCTTATGGTGGTAGCCTATCAGTTTTTGCCTCGGTTGAGCGTGCAACTCAATCGAGTTAATGCATCGAATACTACAATTTAAATCGATTTCACATGCCTTTGGAAGTTAACTATATAAGCTGCTCCGAAAGCTCATGAGATCACTTAAAACTTGGCCATTAGCGAAGATGATCTTAATAACTGGTGTGCTAAAAAAGAAAGAAGGAGTCCATGACTTCAAACGAACGTATGTGTTTGGGATCTTGGAATTATAGCCGCCTTTCCTTTGGCAAGCACCTCGTCGCCCTCGGAGTCAGTTAGAGCCGGCCAGACACAAATGGTAACGGTTGACGCCCTCTCTGTAACCTCTTCTTCCTCCATTTCAAAGAATTCCTCAAATCTCTCGCCATGCACTTTATTTGCTTGTGTAATCTTTATTGGTGGAAGCTGGTTTACCATTCTCCAGGAAATTTGTACGCATTCTGCGATGAAATTCTTCATTTTTAATAAAATATTGTCGTCTAAATAAGGCAGCAAAGGATCTTCTTTTCTCCACTGATCACGAAATTTCTTCAACTCTGTAACCGTTTTCTGTAAAAGAATAAACTTGAAAATCATGCAAATATTGGGCAAGCACTTGGCTGTTGAAAAAAATAATCGATTTTCCTCGTAGTTGAGTGATTCTTTTAGTCTGTCTAGAATTATACTTAATTGTACTCCAGTCTGACGCGACACTAAATGTTTAAATAAATTATTTTATATTTTTTTGCGAAAAGTTCAGAAATGGAATTACCTCTTCCAGAGCTGTTAAGTCACAGCTGACTGCCATTTCCTTAAGTACAGAAGAGCAAGCGACTTGGAAGGACTCCCCTAAAAATAGGGAGTCCATTTCCCTTGAGATAGATTCCTGCATACCCTTCTCAAAAAGCTCTGATGCCTATGGGGTCAAAAAAAACCTCAGGGCTGTTAAGTCATAGCTGACTGCCATTTCCTTAAGAACATGAAAAATATGAAGCGGAATGATTGTAAAGGCAATAATAATACTACTAATAATAAGAACAATCATCTTCATCATCGTCGCTAACATTATGGGAAAGAGCTTCTTTTATATTATTCCTGGCCACAAACATGATAATTGTAATCATAACACGGTATCTAGCATTTTTTAACTGATTTACCTCTGGGGAATTAGATCCTTTCGTTTGGTGAATAACTCCTAAGGATGGTGCACATTGGAAAAATTTCGGCAAAACACTTTGGGCGAATGCAGATTTTGTGGATTTTGCAACATCATGTGCCACCTGGGAAAATAACGTCATTTCAATTTTAACATAAGGTGCTCACTTCCTTGTGATATACTCTTTGACTGACAGCGGCATGTTCGATATTCAAACAAAATGTTAACAAGCTTATAAACTCTTCCTAAAGTAGTTGTAGAAATGTCAGTCGCCCTCGAGGAAACGAAAGCTGGTAACTTACGCGAAGATATCTTTGTGACAAGAACTTTAGGAGATTTGAAAGAAAAACAATAATCTTCGAGAATTGTCGAATCAATTACGGTAAACATAATTTTATGACACAGGATTTGTCAAATTGACGGTCAATACCTCGAAGCTGTATCTCGATCTACTTACTGGATTTAGAGTAGAACAAAAGATACGCCTTTCGCTAAAATGGAGACAAGTGTTGTTTTTAAATGAATTATAACTCATGGCTTTCGTTTTGGACGATGTTATCCGATACTCTTGGTAAAAAAATATAAACAATATGCAGAAGTACGGCGTAGTTTAGAGAGTTGACCTAGTAAATTTAAAGATTGTAAACAGTTAAAGGATCTTTGGTTCATTTACTGATTATTATATTACCACAAATATACGGCATGTCACATCCTTTCTGTACCAGAGGTCACTCCTGTTATCCGGTTTTCCGAATGCCTCGATCGCTTGTCTGCGTGGAGCACCATCTATTCTTTTGAACTTTTTTACAACATCACTTCGCTTGTTTCTACTTGTAATGTCCTCAGAACTGCTCTGGTAACAACGATGATCCATTTCTGAGTCGTCGCCAATCCTAATGAAGAAGAGGAATTAAAATTATAGGCTATCAGTACAACTGCAGCTTGCAGGCAAAGAAAGCTTGAATCGATACTAAATGATTTCCATGAATCTAAGAATCCTTTTCTCGAATGTTTCCTCAAATCTAAAAAAATAATCTTCAACTTACCTTTGTCGCAAACTTTGGATTTGCTTTTTCAGGTCATGATTCTCTGTTGACAGTGCGCTCGCCTTCTCAAACCACTGCTTCGCGATCTTCGCCGCGCCATTTTGGAGCTCCAGGAAGGAGTTGAAGTCACCTGCGTTGGATCTCTCGTTCATCGGTGTGCCTAATAGCTCGGCGCGATTCCCAGTAGAATGTTCGAAGCTTACTTTTTGATTAATAAACGTCCTTTTACCTCGTGTCGAGGGACACGATCCCATGAAATACAAATCTCAACAAGTTCAACAACACATCGGAAATGCGTTGTTTATTTCTTAGAATTTGGGTGTATCGTTTCTAGGAATCATATCATATGATTCTTAAAAAAACAATAGACAAGGAGTCTGTGCAGCTGCTACACGAAGAGGACTGTTTGTAAGTCTTCTTTTCGATCATTCAGTCGCAGATTTGGTAAATTTGATAGTCTTATGTAGATAAAATAATATTATGGAACATTTGATCCGTGGTGTCGACAAATTTCTTTCGAGATATAGACGATTTCTTTCGATTTCATGATTGTTTCTGTTTGCATAACTTGAAGGATATTTTCGAAACCATGGCTTCTCAAACCCCAGTTCAAAGAGATGTCATAATTGCGATCGACTTCGGCACTACTTACAGTGGATTTGGATACGTTTTCCTGAACGCATCTCAAAATCATATCTACGTGTTTCAAAAGTGGGGAAGAGGACAAGGAATGGGCTACGGAAAAACACCAACAGCTCTCCTCCTCACCGAGAAAGGCGAATTCCATAAGTTTGGACATGCTGCAGTAGAGACGTACGGGAAACAAGCGATGTCAAAGAAGGATTGTAAAAAGCTTTTGTATTTCGATAAATTCAAACTTCTGCTCCATTCCAAAAAGGTAAGTCTGAACCGGTTCATAATTTTCCTTCTACATTAATTGCTTACGTGTCAACATTTGTTATTGATGGTTTTCAGATCATCCGTGAGTAATCGAAACTAGCAGTGTAAAGTTGTCTGCTTGTCGTAACGTTTACTGATTCCGACCAAATTTTCGGGTTAAATAGAATATGCTTACCAAACTAGCGACTAAAGTTCGTCGGTGCGTTTCAAATGTTCTCGTAGGAACCGTACAATTCTGTTTCTTTTAGTCTGTGATGCAAAACACTTCGCAACGATGTGGTAAATTAACGCGGAAACTCCATACTTGTTATGGTTATCACTAAAAGTGATTGAAACGATGTAAAATTTTTTAAAGACAGTGATGGGTCACCGTACTTATTTAGAAGCAGTAGTAGCAAGTTGCGCCTACGCAATTATTCTTTATGTCATCATAGCAAAATTTTGTGCAGGCTTATGCCAACTTCATTTTTAGGAGGAGTCTGAGAATGGTTCTTTATTCGAGCTGGCATTGCAGCTTTCTTGTTCCATCGGCAAAAAACTGTTACTGCTCAATTCATAATAGGATATGTCAACATAAATGACGATCAACGTCCTTAGTGAGCTACCGCTTCGACCAGAAAGAGAAGATATCATAATAAGTGCCTGAAAGCCTCTTTATTTCGCATGTGAAATTATGCAAAATAACGATGTACAATGAAATATTAATTTACAACCCTGAAAGATGAAGATTTTGCGGAATTTTCACTTCGCGAATAAGGGACCTTGCAGGATCGTGTCAGAAAATTGAATAGGGCTGGTTCTCATTAATAACTCCATGTTAGCGTATCGAGTGGTATGTTGCTCGCACCAATCAGATCGTTTAGGGTATGTGTCCCGCACCAATCAGATTGCCGCATTAGGGTATGTATCTCGCACCAATCATATCATAGCATTTGAATATCCTGCACCAATCACAGCATTTGGGTATTTTTTTTCTTGTAAATGATGTCATAGATCAAAGAATGACATTAGCCAGAAATTTTGGGCTCATTTGGTAAGTGTAATGGTATGTGGCCTTCGCGAGAGCCTCGTCGATTAAGGTCGAGATTTATCGGGATATGAAGAGTACACATTTAAAATTTTAAAGTCAAAACGTGTCTTTTCCGGTCCTTTATTCAAAACACACGCCAAACAACTTATATTACATCACGCGCCATGAAAACAACGTCCAAAGACCAATTAGAACATACCTAATCATTGTCCTACATGAGCATTAGGCAATTTTTCACGTGCTTGAATTGTATTCCACCAATCAGATTCCATTTTGCCACATTGGACTTTGCTCTATCGCGTGTTATTTTCTTGTAAACAACATGCATTTTATTACGTATTCTAACTGCATTGTCCAATCCCTATGAAAAAAATTCACGTAGAACTAAATGCTACTGATATTGAGTTTTCTACGCAATCCTCCCGCGTTTGACTTTTTCTACGAATTAAAGTCGCTTTAAGCTACCTTGGACTTAACCCAATAGCGTATTAATTCATTGTAAAACAACTTGCATTTTATCACACATTTCACACACAGCAGGCAAAGCCCAGATAGTTAACAACCAATCAAGGAGTCCTCTTTGAAATATTATCCTTTCTCTTGTTCAATGTATCTTCACTTATTTGAGAATCGCAATATATCTTTGGTTAAGGTCTATTAGAGGTACAACAGAGTTTCAGTTTGCTTTTCGTTGTAAAATTACGCGGAATTATATTTTTGAGGTAACTAACTGTGGACGAATAACTTTGATTTTCTCGCTGTTGGAGGAACGGCAGTAAGCGTAGTCTCTTTCGCAACCGTTATTTGGTATCGTCACGCAACGCGCGCTCTCTCTCAAACGGGAAAATAGAGGGCGTTGTATGACGAGACCAAACAACGGCTGCGAAGGAGACAACAGTAAGCGTGGCACCGATGCATTTCATTTTAACTTAGACGTATTTAGACAATAGAGGCAGTAGAGCATATAATATCTGTGTGAGTTCAGATAAATTAGGTTGTTTTCTGTCTTTCTGCGATATTTTCGTTTTTTGAAAGTTATGTTATGTCGGTGACAAAAATGAAAACAGTAATTAGACAAACTGTCCCATCTCATCCCACTCAGCCAAAAAAATAACTATTGCATGCTAGGCATGCCTATGTTTTTGGCTTGAAAAATCGGCTGGAAAATCAAATTGCATCAGACCGGAAATGAAAATAAAATTGAGCTTATACGGTCGCATTTCAACGAGTGAAAATGCAAGCGTCAATCACATGGGAAATTTGAGAGGTGAAATTAAGTTCAGTCACGACACTTACCATGCGGCCGAACAGGGTAACAGTGACTCACAGGTTTTCTTTGTTCGGCGCTCACAACAGGCCAAATTGGGGGTATGTTGCCCAGGTCATAAATGAAGGAATACTGTTCACTTCTTGGCATTTGATGGCTGTAATAAGGAAAAGGAAAATCTTTCTTGTCCATGTTGTAGCTTCGAACTGCACGCAATAAAAACGTCAGTGTGAACGATGAAATTCCGCGCTCTTTTTCACGTTCGTGACCTTGCCGTCTATGTTGGGTCATTCTTTTCAATTGTTGACAGCTTTGGCGGCGGGCTACTTTGGTTTTCGAGATTTGGAAAAATTGGTCAGGCCTACCCAAGCACACCAGCGTCTGTGATGTTTTTTACCGATTTTAAATTTTTGAAAAATCACAAATGGTCGCATTAGAAAACAAATGTATTGACAGATTTTAATCCCTTGAGTAAACAATATTCTGCAAAATCGTCTGTAATGCGACCCGGTGTCATAGCGGATTTGGACCCCCCGCGGATTTGGACCCCCTTCGCAGATTTGGACCCCCCTACCAAACTTTCCTTTTAAGCATTCTTTGTATCATATTTAGTAACTAATTCTATTTGCAAGCTTTTCGATGTTCTTTTCAATCACAACAAAACATTTCTTCAATAAAGGTAAAAAAAAAACCCAGCCATTTCGTTCCAATTCTACCGCGTTCATTATAGCGAGTCGTACAGTATACGCAAGAATTAGATGTGAACAAACAACTGCATTCGAACTATTGAAATTAGTTAGTTACTGGCATAAAATCTTTCATATAAAGACTACCGACTGAGAGAAATTACACCGTTAGTTACTGGCGTAAAATCTTAAATATAAACACAACTGACTGGGAGAAATTACGCTGTTAGTTACTAGCATAAAATCTTACATATAAACACAACCGAGAGCTGCACCGAAATCGCAGAGGTCATGGGTTCAAATCCCGCGTGGGCCTGAATTTTTTTTTTTTGAGGTCTTATTTCAACTACTAGTTCAGTAGTGTTCATAGCTGCTATGATCGCTTGTATCTCATTTCTTCACTGCAGTGCACATATATGATTTTCATATATTTCCCATCATTATTGAACGAGAAACGCAGCAAGTAAATTATTATTGTACCACATAACTCAGTCGCCTGAATAAGGAGTTCACTCGATTAAAACTCTTCTCACATTTTTGGCCAACATTCTTTGGACCCTTTTTTACACGAATGATACTACCCTTAGTTTTTCGTTTATGAAGAGAAAGTAATTATGAAACAAAATAAAACCTGAAAATACATTAACACTGTTCGAAATTTCGTTTTCGGGTATAAAGAAGATAACGTTAAGAATGAAATCTTTTTGTTATCTACTTTGAAGTCCAACCACAGGACACCCAAGCTCACACACTGAGCCTTTGTGAATATGCAAATAGCTCACGTTGCGCGATAGGAGCACTGGGCTCCTAGTGAAGTAAAAGGATTTGCATGGAAATGAACATTGGCGCTCTCAACCTTTATAAAATCTGGACTAGTTTTGAATCAGGATAAATTTACCCCGCTCAAGCGGTTTTTCTGTTGCATCGTGTGAATTTCTTGGGCTGATTTAGGGAAACTTAGCTTGGTTTTAGTTCATCTGCTTCCAAGATACCTCGGCGAGTAACGCCAACCAAACGAATCCATTGGAAGCAAAACGCTGTGAGTTCACGAGTCCGGACGCCCCGACCACCCAGAAATTCCACCGGCACGGGTAATTCGATTCATTATTTACTTAAAAACATCAAAACGCCTACAGCACTAAACATGAGTAGGAAAATTCACATTAGAGAACGAAAACTCACAAATAAGCCCACAGCAAAATATTAACCTTGACGGTACATAGCTTTACAGGCAGAAAACGACGACTGCTTCTTTAAAAGTGGACATAAAAGTTGATGCAGAGGACTTAATTTATACACAAAATTACTTGACACAATTACGTAACATCACGCATGAGGCTTTATACGGATATCGCGGTACCCAAACCGTCAGAGCTTTCAAATTATGGTTCAATTCTCGCTTAGGGTTAGGGTTAGGGTTAGGTTTGTACGTTGAATGCCACCACAGTAAAAGTTAGACGTCAAGGACGATTAAAACATATTTTTCTTCTGAACTGGTATTCTTTACACCCGAAAACGAACTTTCAAACTGTTTAAGGTCTTTTTTAGTTTTTCTTTTATTTCATTGCTATTCTTTTGCAAAAAATATCGAAAACACAAGATCCAAGCAATGTTGCTTGTCCGTCTGGTCGATGTTTGCAGCGTTCAAAAAAGAAAATACAAGGACGTTTGAGGAAAGCTCGCTACTTTGCTTTCTATTTTTCCAAACCCTTCCGCCCTAAATTTTCTTTTCATCTCTTCAGAAAGGAAGTTTTGTTAAGACTTGGGGATAATCCACTGAGTAGAAATGTGTTGCTTTGACTACCATTCCTCTATCGTTGCTCATTTAGCTGATAGTATGGTAGAAAATTCGATCTTCCAGCGGAAGGAATTTAAGTTACCCAAAGTCAGGGTGAGAGTTGTTCATGAACTTTTGTCGCGGTTAAATCTATGTAGGACCTAAATGAGAGAACAGAGGTAAAGGCCAGGAATGGGAAAAAGTGGCTTGCCTTGGATGTGTTTGCAAAGTGCCTTGAGTACCTGAAGAAAACTGCGACAGATGTCGTTAACGAACGGCATCTCCGGTCAGAAAAGGACAATCCCAACACAGAAGTTATGTACAAACCCGAACAGATCCAATGGGTGATAACAATTCCAGCAATATGGCGAATTTCTGCCAAGGAATTCATGAGAAAAGCTGCTTATAAGGTAACTGATACCTTCCATTCTTGTTTTTGCAGTATTAAGTTAGATTTAAAATTGATGCTCGAAACATCAATGCAGCCTTTTTCCGATGTGCCCTATGATTCAAAGGGGAAAACTGTATACAAAAAAAAAATGAAAATATACAAGTTAACTATACCTACCCAGCTAACAAACTATAGATTTATCTAAATCGTGGCTGATAAAGAAGGGAGATTCACCTCTTTCAAAAGTTTCTCACCCGTTTGTTTCTTTCAAGGCTGGGATTGCAAGCCCGGAGGATCCTGACCAACTCATCCTTGCCCTTGAACCTGAAGCCGCTTCGTACTATTGTAGAAAGTTGCCTTTCGATATGTTTAAGGGACAAAAGGGAAAAGAGCTGGTGAAGGACACTTTGGACATGGAAAAAGTTCCATACATGGTGGTGGATAATGGAGGTGGGTTCTAACTCCTTCAATAGTTAGGAAAAAAAATTTGTAAGGATCGTGGCCAGGCCATCGACGGTGTTTTTCACAACCTGCACAGGACCAGGGCTAGAACGTTTACGAATAAAATTAGAACATTTTAAATAGGAGAGTGTATACAATCAGATTCAAAACAGATGAGAAACCTCATCCACGCGCTAGTCATGTAATTCCCACAAAATATCGAAGCTAATTTACAGGTGAGATATTAACTCAATTTTGCTCCACAGGAGGAACTTTAGATATCACCGTTCACGAAGTTAATGCTGATGACGGACATATTATGGAAAAACACTGTCCCTCTGGCGGTACCTTTGGTGGCATTCATGTTGACCAAGAATTTGAGCAACTGATGATAAAAGCATTTGGAGACGACTTCATCAGAAGATTTCAAGAACAATTCCCGAATGACTGGCAAGTCATAATGAACCGCTTTGAGGAACAGAAGAGGGCAGAAGAGGAAGTGGACAACGATGAAATTAGTATCGCTCTCCCTTTAAACTTTATAAAGTCTTGTCATCATGACATTGAAGAAGATGATGATGCTATCAATGAGAGAATTCGGCGATCTTGTCCTGAAAATGTGAGTGTCAGCAGCGACTATTTGAACATAACCATGGGAATGCTTGGCAACCTGCACCGTCCAATTGTGACCAAGATTGCGGAGAAGATGAAAAGCTTGCTCGCTAAGCAAAGTCTTCAAGATGTAAAGACAATTTTTCTCGTCGGTGGTTTTTCTGAAGCTCAGTTTTTAAGGAGGGAAATTTCCCGCTGCTTTCCTGACAAACGCATTCTTATACCACCAGATCCCCAACTCGCCATTATTCGTGGTGCTGTAGAGTTTGCCCAAGAACCGAGTTTACTTCGAGCCAGGGTCATGGGTAAGACATATGGTTTAAATACCTGTATTGTGTTCGATCCTGAAAAACATCCGCTCGAGAAACGATTAGTTAGTCGAGAGAAAGTGTACTGTCGTGACATTTTTAAAACCCTAGCCAAGAAAGGGGAACGAATAGACATTGACGAGAAAAGAACGTACAATTTTTTTCCCATCAATCCGGATTCGACGGCATTATCTTTCAAGTTCTACAGCACAGACGAAGATGAAGCTGACTTTATCTCCGATCCCGGAGTGGTAAGTGAAAACGTCGAAATTTTAATTCCCAGTCCTAACACTGCTAAGGGATGTGACCGAGAATTAAGGGTGGAAGTAAAGTTTGGTGGCACGGAAACCAACGTTCAGGTCATCGATGTCGAGTCAGGTAATATTAAAATGGTATGTCTTCAACTCGTTTCCACATCTTTGATTCACTCCCGTTTCTATTAGAACTATGCTGAGTGGACCAATGTGGACCCTAATATTTACTTTAAGAGAGGTTGATCAATATTCTAATTTTAGAGACTTGTTACCCCACCTCTATAATCGAATAAACAATGATTGGCTTAAGGCCGAAATTTCAGTCATCAAGGGAGGACACAAAAGTCAATTTTCAAACTTTTAAACAGCGTGTGGCTTCGGCGTTGCCATCTTGTAGAAGCGTAAATCGTGAGCCAGAGGTCCTGGGTTCAAGTATCAAGCCATCGATAGGGGCTTTTATCATGTTTTAATACGTTAGATATGAATTTTTTTTATTACAGATTTCTCGGTCCCGTTAGTCTCTATGCCTTAAACACTACTGAGAGTAAATCGATCCTATTTTAATGAACATTTTTGTCAGCTTACATTGCATGTGATATTTGGTAACATTGACTCGTTTAGGTAAGGCAGCTGAGATTGATTCCGACAGTTAGAGTCTTATTTTAGTCAACGGCCCTTAGGGGAACACTCTTATATTTTCATTTTAAAAAAATGAAGTTAAATGTAATAGTTTTAAATTTTTGATCAGCTTAATTCATGCGCCATTTATAATCATGTGCAAGAGTCACACAAGTAGGTTAAATGTAATATCAAAACAGTGCTGATTGCTATCTGCAATCAAGTTGGTTCTTTTACACTATATATCGAGTAGTATGTTTTAGTCCGGTATATCTTTGTTCGCGGTTAAGAATACTGCATAATACCAAATATTTTCTTTGGAAGATGGGCTCATATAGGATGTCCTCCGATACGAAATTGTTAGAAAGGAATTTTTCAAATGCGAGCAAAACTTAAGCTCTATTAGGTAATTTAGGTAATAAATACTAAATACTATCGCTCTGACGAAGGGCTAACGCTCTAAACGTCAGCTTTTTTACCCTTTACGGTGGCTAATTTACGTTTTCAACCCAGTTGTTAACACTAAATTACCTGCTATACTCTCCCACCGACGCAGCACCACAGTTTCTTTAGAAACTTACCCCTTTAAGCTTTATTACTCGATTTTAGGTCGAAATAGTAGCACACCATTACGGACGAAACAGTTGTAAAATGCAATACTAAGAACAAATAAATCCGAAGAGCTATATCCATTGTAAATATGAGCTAGATGTTACAGACAAATACATATTTCTAGAATGAAGTTCGGATATAACGCGCGCTGTCATTGGTTGAAAGAGCGTGCTCTATCAGAGTACAAAGCAAAGAGCTGAGCTAAAGCTGTCACGCCATCTGATGCAAACCTCAGAAGTTACATTGGCCGCGCTTCGAGTGATCAACTAAGAGCTTTCCGTGATATCATTTCCGATGCGTTGAGTGGAAGGCCACATCAAACTTCGCCTTGCGCAGTCTCTGTACATGAGACTTTCAGATTGTGTGCAAGAGACTAAAAAACTTCAGGCAAAAGTGTTGAATTCGACCTACCGAACTATCTCAGTTTGCAAACTATTGCAGACTGTGAACTTGGATGGTTTGACATTTTTGACAGCTCTAATCTTGTTCAAACGCTTAGATTATTTAGACTATTCCAACAAGAATTCTGATTAGCTCATTGTAACGTGCTTGATGAGAGTACAAAGCATGGTGACATCGCTGTTGTTCGCTTTGCAAATAAAGTTTGCTTTGAAAATTGAAAGTAATGCGTGGGGAATTTAACGGATTCTTTGTTATAGACAACCCTTGACTGTGCTCTGTTCTGTTGTAAAGCACTTAGGAAGCAGCTAGAGCACTGAAGAAATGCTTCTTCCGTGCTTAAGCCGCTTCCCGCGTGCTTTATAATAGAAAAGAGTATAGCGAAGGCTTCTCTATTCGTTAAACATGGCATGGACAATATATCTCTTATTAAAAGTTGCGTTACATGTAAAACAAACACAAACAAACAACAAATAGCAACGCAGTCAATCACAAAAAAGTGCGTGTGTTTGCCACTTATCCTTCAAATGTGAAACAGTATCTTACCTTTTAAGAAACTAAAAATAACTTGACGTAGTCGAGATGAAGTTGAATTTAAGCGGGCAGCCGTCCGACCGACGTCAAGGCAGCAAATCTCAAATCAAAAAGCACAAGAACAAAACCTTACGCCATTGGTCCGCCGAGGGTCTACATCGAAAGTGACAACATCGTGAGACAAACGACATTACGGGTGCATTTACCGGGATGAAGAACTGTTTGATTTGATCCTCTGGGTTCTGTTTTAAACCATTTAGGCAGCTTACAAAGCTGTTTCCCCGCGCGAGCCAACGCGCACCGGTCTGACCACCGGTCTTATGTTTTCCCGCGCTTTTCACTGGTGGTTACCGCTCTCTATCGCCAATTGAATCATGGGACGAAATATCTCCACATGCAGTTCTATCGTTATCGTGTAAAATTCTGCGTTAATTCTCGTTACTCATTTTCCGATAGGTATATTAGTATTCGGCTAATTCAGTGCAACTGGAACCAAAGAGTTGTAAACAAATCTCTTTTACTCGACATACTTAGATATTACTTAGTTATGCACTTTAAAATTTAATGTTGATATTTGTAATTTAAAAGTACAGCCTATTGATAGAATTTCTTCAACATAATTACATCGGAAGAGAATATGTCTGGTGATATGATACACGATAAAAACACAAATGTTTACTACATAACAGTCGAGGTAATGATTGGACACCAAAAGCTTTTCTCTTCAGTGGTCCAAATAACGTGGAAGAAATTTTTCACCTTCGCGTAATGAGCCACAATGAGAACTGGTATTAGTTAAAGTGAAGTTTGAAGCGATTTAAGTATTAAGGTAACAAATATTAAAAAAGATTATCATCAGAATTAATAAATACGCGTTCTTGCGCAGAACTAAAGAAAACTTTCCACAACGATGAAAATGACAGAGGTTGAAATATTCATTGTTAAAGTCGACTAAAATTAATGTAGGAAAAGTTGTCGGTCATTACAATGTCACACGATATCGATATGTTACCGACTTCTTTCCGAACCCTCTTGCTATTTTCCTTTTGGAAAAACAGCCGAAAACTCTTCGGGTATACGTCCTCTGCTGGGGCCAGCACTCAAAAATATAAATACGTATCATCCCTTGAAAATAAATTTAAAAAAATCGAATTTTCTCAGTCAACATCAAGCAAACAGTAGCGATATTTCGATAGTGAAAATCAAAATTGGTTTTTTGGTCCGTTGGTTCTGTAAATTGACGCATTTCATGGATTTTCAAGTTATCACAACTAGCTGACAGTTGCGAGTTCTCTTGCGTTAGACTTCTCTGTGGTGGACTGAGTGATGGAAAGTTACTTTTGAAGTTCTCCAGGAACATTTGTACATAGGATGAGGTTTAAAAACATCAGAGATTCCGGACGTCTAAAACGCACAGCTGTTAGGAAAATAGAAGAAAATCATTAAATTTATTGAAAGAAAACTGCCAATCCAAACCAACTCATGATTAGTCTTATAGAACTACCGCTTCGTGGGCATCCAATTTTGTTTTTTATCATATCCACTTTGAAATCATAATCTGATTTCGCAATCCTTGCAATCTGATTGGCGCTCAGCAGTGCGATTTGTTCACATATGACACTGTCTTTCTTCAAAACAACCAATCACATTTGAAGATTTGTCTAAAGCAACCAACTAAATTTCAGGTTAAAGAAAGACAAAGAAGCCATTGTGTGACGTAACTGAACTTCGTGATACTTGTGAATTCAAATGGAACTCGCGCCGCGCTCTCATTCGATTTGAAATATATGGTGCATTAGAACTCACACCAAATTGCACTGCTAATTAGTTCAATTGCCTTCATTAATCATTGTAGAATTACAGACTGAAACAGAGCTTCAATCGCTAAGGTACATGAGCTGATAAACAGAGCTGAGTGAATTGATCGTTAGAAAATGCAATATTCGGAGTTTTAAATTTAATAAATCACCATTTAGTACCATTGGATATCACACCGTATTGTCCTGCTAACTCACCGTATTGTCTGAAAAGCACGCAGCTACTTTGTCTCCTCTTGGACTCCACTGTACTTCAAATACACCCCCATTACCATGGTAACTATGAAGTAGCGTGCCAGTCTAAAGAAAAATGAAAACAATGTATTAACAAACACATGCTACTTATCTGCGACTGGCTGCCATTCAGGTTCGATTTTCAGACGGGAATTAAAAAAAGCCTGGTTTGTGAAAAGAACACGCGAGGAGCTCCTAACTTTTCCTGGCGTGTTTAAAGTGCGTCCTTGTCCTATTCCCATCACCCGTTTGCGTGTCTCCTCGTTTGCGCACGCCAGATTAATTCGCTCATATTCACTTTTCTAAGGAGTCTTGGGTCGCAGTTCATCGTTACTTCTTTTCCTTACAGCTGTTAATTTCTTTGATAAACTGGAATTAGATCAAGGTTGCACCCTCTTACCTATACGTTCTTCTGTTAACCCTTTAATTTCCATTAGTGACCAAGACAGAATTTCTCCTTACCATATCAATACAAGATCAACCACATAAGTGGTGAGAATAGAGAGAAATGTGAATTTGGGATAATTAGTTGATCCAATACTAAATTCTCTGAACTAACATTATAGGAATTGTATGGTTGACAGTAAGGAGAATTACAAATTTGATCTGAGAGTTAAAGGGTTAACATCACCCGTTTGCTTGAAGATGCCCTGGAACTGTGAGGAAAAGTCGATTATTGATCAACAACTGGAGTTAAAGGGTAAAAAAAAAACAATATTTCATTATCGGAAAAAGAGTGAATATATTCCCCACCTGTGTTGACCAGACATTCAGTGCCCTGTCAAAAGACCCCGATGCAATGTATCTGCCATCAGGACTAAATGACAAAGAGTGCACTGCTTCTTGATGTTTGGAGAGAGAAAGAACACAGGAGCCACGCTCCAGCTCCCATAGTTTGACTGTTGTGTCGTATGAAGCACTAAAACACATTAAAACATCACGGTTTAACCACAGTTACATGAGAAGTTTGTTATTGTAAAGCCAAAAGGTAAATGACAAGCCTAAACAAATCTCTATGTACAACTGTTTTACATCATAAATTATCAAATCATGATTGGTATTCTCATGATGAGACAGATTCCATATCATTATGTGATTTTTTAAGGAATTTTCAAGGGGTGAATCCTCCATTTGTGTCTCACAGGTATCTGGACATATTCCACGTGGTTTATTATCGTAAATTATTTCTCAGCCACAAACAAGGGGTGGACATAGGGGATGGAAGGGGTATAAGCCACCTGGGATCTTAATCCATCCCCAATCCCCATTGTACTTTTTACCTTAACAAGCTTATGACCAATACTGTTTTAAGAGATACACAAGCCTCAGTTGTTTAATGTCTGGATCTTTTAATCAGTTATGTTGTGAACTGGTCACCAAACCCTTTAACTTCCAAGATCTTGGCCCAGCTGTTTGAAAGCCAATTAGCGCTAACCCAGGGTTAAATCTTAATCCAGGTTTCTTTACTCCTTTATTCAAAAGCCTTTTACTAGATAGTTTTCTCTATTATTCATGGAGCACCCAGTTGTCAAATTGTATACAAAAAAAATTCTACTGAATTTTTTTTTTAAGCTTTCAGATCTGAAATCAAATTCCTCACTAACCCTGGATTATCCTAACTCATCTTTGAACAACCTGACACTGATTGTGAATTATCTCCTCTAGCTTCTACAAATTTCTTTGCAAATTAGTTATAAGAATTTGGTGTTCGATCAAGACAACAGTTTCTACATGATCAGTTGGAGATTCCTTATTACCTCTTTGTTGGATTGTGTATTGATGTTGTGAGGAGGGATAAGTTACACACTAAATACTTCCGAGAGTTGATGGGTTAACAACAACGATAATAACACATAATCTTTCAACTTGTAAAAGAAAAAAAAGAAAAAAAAGTTTACATTAAAATTTCATACAGCATACCTTGCTAAGAGAAGAGGTGCATTAGGAAACACTGTTGTTGGTCCTGTTGGACTCCATGTTACTGTATATATTTCTTTTTTGTGACCTTGGAGATCAAACAACCAGGTATCTTGTTTGGTGCTCCATATCTAAACAAATAAGAGTTTTGATACATTTAAACCCAAATATCAGTATGCATATTCTCCATACTGTTCTCTGTACATTTACAAAGGTGCTGGCAAAGAGAATTTGTTGCACAATCAAGACCTCCGTCAGATTGCATCATTTCCTGTATTCTTGTGACCTTCATGATGAAAATGTGTGATTCAAGAGTGATATTGTAGGTAGATATTAGTCAATCTCAAGGGTTCAGGTAAATCTTGAGCTTAGAAAGCTTTAACAGTGTTCTTGGATAGTTAAAGGGATTTACATTTGATCATTATTGAGAGTCAGATACTTAAATAATCACTATGAAAGGGCTAAGAATAACACCAAATTGGCCCTTTACACCTTAACATTAACCCTTTAACTCCCACGAGTGACCAGGAAAGAATTTCTCCTTACAATATCAATACAATATCAAGCAGGCAAGTGATGAGTATAAAGAAAAATATCAATAAGGGGATTATAAGTTGATTAAATACTAAATTCTCCAAACTAACATTACAAGAACTGTATGGTAGATAGTAAGGAGAATTACAAATGAGATCTTGGGAGTTAAAGGGTTAATACTGTTATTCTCCTCACTTTTCTCTTAGCAGTACATATGGCACTGACAAAGAGAATTTGTTTGACAATCAGGAGCTTCTTAAATTGGTGATTGTTTCCTATATTCTCCTGTCCTTTACATTTAATTCAAGGGTGATACTGTACGGAGAAATCAGAAGCCAATCTCTCTTAGAGTTTAATCACTTACCTTAGCTGATAGATCATCTGAACATGATGCTAGGAAAGACCCTGATGGATCCCATCTAATTGTATTCACTTCACTCTGTTAAAAAATCAATAATGGACAACAGCAAATGAGTATGGCATACATGTACATGTTAGATGTGCATCTCTTTGACGAAGTTGCCCTATGTAGACCCAATACTGGGTCCTTTTCTACCAAAACAATCATTAAAAAGCACAAGAACAATAATCAAATGGCACAAAAACTACAAGCGTATGCAAACTCACAGTGTGTCCTTGAAATGATTTGACAGGTTTTTCAACTCCTATTTTACAGACATGTATGATTTTATCGGTTGAACAAGATGCAAAACTTGTGTTGTTTTGCCAGTCTACATCTAGTATGGGGGCTGAAAAAAAAAGGTAAACAAAATTAATTTCTATTTGTAAGAACAAGTTGTACATACATTCATACAAAAATCAAGAGAGGAGATAATGGAGAATCTGTGTTGTTTACAATCATAAACAAAAATTCAAAGTTTTGCGGCAAACAGGGTTAATTAATGTTTTAAAAATAAATTTATCTTCTTTACCTTGATGGAAAGAAAATTGCTGTTTAACTTCCCAGTTATTTGAGTCCCAAACAAAAGTGCTCTGGAAATAAAACCACATTTTCAGAAATATATATGATTACCAGTACTCTATCAAGAGTATTACGTAAAAATACAATAATTTTTTGATGGTTTTATAGTTAGGACTTTTACCTTATCCACTCCAGCACTTATTAGATAGTTTCCTTTCTTGTTCCATTTGATGGAAAATATTGGTCCTTTGTAATCACCTAGTGTTTTAACCAGTTCCCCTGTAAAGAGAAGAAAATTACTGAATCTGCTTGTTGTGGTACACAGAAAACAAGACAAGTGATTGAAAAATAAATTCTCCTTTAGAAATTGACATAATATAAAGCAGGGTAGTTGTGAGAAGAGAGTAAAACATCAACAAAGGGTTTTCATTTAATTTACCAAGTAATTCTTAAAGCTAAAATCATAATCAACATATAGCCAACAGTAAGGAAATTGATTTTGAGATCTTAGGAGTGGAAGTATTAAATATCATGTTTTGGAACAATAATTAAATTGTTAGATGGTGTTACCTTCTGGAGACCAAATCCTTGCCTGCCCATCACATGAACCTGTGGCTAGCAGAGTTCCATCATTCTACAGGAAAAGAGTTAAGTAATAATAATTCCTTGTTCTAAAAAGGGGTTACCACATTTGTCTGGGTTAAACAAGTTACAGTAACTGTAACTCTAACTAATGAAATACAAAAAGGGGGTAAGTTTCTGAAGAAACTGTGGTGCTGTGTCTGTAAGGGAGTATAACAAGATAATTTGGTTTTATAAACTGAGTTGAGAATGTAAGTTGGCAATGGTAAAGAGTTGCAAAGCTGATGTTTCAAGTGTTAGCCCTTCATCAGAGTGCATGGAATGCAAGTAATGAAATGCAAGTTTTGGTGGCTCAATCACAAACTAAGGATGCAAAACATGGGTAAAAACTAAGTGCACAACTTACATTCCACTCCAGACATGTTATATCCTTGGTTGTATTTTTATGGTTTTCTAAATCTTTGAATTGATGACGTAGAATGATAGGTGTTCCTATTCCTGTCTCATTTATTGGCCACAGTCTTGCTGTACCATCTCCAGATCTAACAG